GTCTCTGGCATATGGCTGTTCATTATTATTATTTTCTCGCCTGCTCCATTACACCCCTGCTATGAGCAAAACCATCCGGTATTTTCCCTTTTCTTTCTGGCTTATTTCACTCAGCACGATCCCTCCCAGCTCCATCCATGTGGCTGTAAAAGGCACGAGCTTGCCTTTTTGACAGCTGCGTACTATTCCACCGTGTATATCTTTTTGATCCAGTCGTCTACTTTCGGGCATTTGGGCTGATTCCACGTCTTTCCCTATTGCAACCAAAGCAGCCACAAACATGGGGGTGCAGGTATCTTTTCCAATCCGTGTTTTTGTGTCCTTTGGGTAGATGCCTAGGAGTGGGGTTGCTGGGTCGTAGGGAAGCGCCATGTTCACCGCTGCGACATACTTTTACCGCCGGCCCCCACGCCGCCGCAGCAGAGGAAGAGCCTGGTGGCGAAAGAGCTGGCATCAGTCCCGTCTGCTGGCATCAGCGGCGACAGAGCACACTGGGAGCATTCCTGTGTGTGCTGTTTTAAATTCTCTGCACTCGCTCCCTGAAGGAAAACTGGCATCGCGGTAAAAATTAACATGACAAAGCCCACTAACCTTATCGATGCCGCCTCTTGCTATTCTGTGGTCTTTACGTGGAAAGTGCAAATGGGAAGTGACTCACTCCCTGGCCTCCTTGTCCTGCACCGACAGACAGTCTCCAGCTGGACCCCCCCAGCTGACCCCCCTCCCCGAAAGCTTTTGATCGCTTGAGAACAGCTCCATGAACAGCATGGCCAACTGGCTGGTCTCTTAGCTAAAGACAAAGTGCCCCCCTCCTTTTTAAGATCTATTTATGCAGACAGAACTGGGGTACAGGCCAGAGGTGTGGAGGCTGAGAGGACCCCCCAAGAGACAGAGCGGGGAGCAGACCAGGCAGACCGACGAAGTACACTGCTGAGGGGCGCAGCAGGGAGACAGGACAAGTCTGCTGCGCCCTGGGGGTCACTGCCTGGCCGGCCATTGAACCTGCGCTGAGATGGCCGCGGCCAGCTTCACCCCGGGAGGACCCACGAAGACACGCTTTTATTTTTCAAAATCAAACACCAACCCGACGGGCAGACCTCGTGTTGCAAGACCTGCAGTGAGGCGGGCGTCCAGCACAGGCCTCCCACGCATGGACTCTCGCAGGCCTCAGGCTGGCGCTGGCCCTGCCCGGGGCCGAGGGGGCTCGCCGAGGGCGGCCCACGCCGAGGTGGCAAAACTGCGGGCATGGTGTCCGCCTGGGTCGTCCCGTCCGTGCGTGGACACAGGACGAGGCGGCCTCGCGGTCCAGCGTCCCGCGTCTCCCGGCTGGCGCCAGGACCGCGAATTTCGCCCATTGCACAGTGAGCGGATTTCGGTCTCTGCATTTCGGTCTCGGCGGGATGCGCAGACGCTGCTGCGCCTTGTGCACCGAGCCGTACCCCGCTCGCGAGAGCACCTTGCACCCCGAAAACCCGGCCGGCCGCCACGCCTGGGGCTTGCTCAGTGGGGCCGGACACGCTCCTGCTCCTGCCGTGCCGACCGTGTTCCAACCCGAGGCCCGCAGCGGCCCTCACACTGTGCTTCCTTCCCGCGGCTGCAGACCC